CTTCCTGAGTCTCTATGAGCTGTGTCTCACTCAAAGGGACCTCAGGTGGTGCTGTTGTCCTGACAACCAATAAGAGGAGCTTCACATCCACATGGCAGGATAAGCTGAGAGAGAGCGCGAGCGTGGAAGAGAGAAACAGTGAGGATGAGGATGATGATGAGGAGGAGGAGGAGGGAGAGTTGTTTTCTAGACTCTGAGCAGTGACCTGCCTCTCTCCGTCGCTGCTGTAGGCTCTGACGTTTCTTTACGCGCGGAACATTACGCATCACAGAGCGAGGCTCCGCACTTTCTCATCCCCCTAAAAAAAAACAAAAACAAAAGTGTTTTAGGCACTCGTTTGTTCTGTCCTGTTTTGGACTCAAAGGCAACCTGCACGCTCACTGGAAGTCTGGACTACTTCTGCTCTTTTTCTTCTCTTTTTGCCTTTTTTACCATTTGGATTTATAACTTGCTGGGTTTTTTGTTTTGTTTGTTTTGATTTTTTTTTAACATGCAAGTGGGACGCAAATCGTGTTGGAGGCAGTTGCAGGCTTCTTTTTTCAGACTGCTCTGTCTTCTCCCCACAGGATTTCCCGTCCGGAGTGTGGATATGCAGCGAGCCACGGACAACATCACCATCCGTCAGGGCGACACGGCAATCATAAGGTAAGGACTCAAGTTTCCTCCTCTCCCTGTCTCCCTCAGCATCCTCCTCCTCTTCCTCCTCCTCCCCCTTCAGCAGGCAGCTGTGGAGGACAGTTTGTCTTGGAGCTGATTTGAAATAACTTATAAGAACAGTATCCAAACAACCCCACAACAACAACAACAATGTCTCTCCTATGAACTGATTTGCATAAATTCTGACTTTTTACATCAGTTTTCACTAAAATCTCCTCTTTTTTTTTTTTGCATTTAAAGTCACTTTTCCCTCATCCCTGATCTGGCATTTTGATAGCCATTCCAGTGACTGAAGTCTTGTTTAAAGGGGAGGCTTTAAGTGTGTGGTTTTGCAGCAAAGAGATGATTCCAGATTAAAAAGAAAGAGGTTATACAATATATGGAAAGTCTGTTCTTAGAACTTTCTCATCTTGTTTGTACGACCCTAGATYTCTGTTCAGATGGGACGAGTTAGAGCCTAAAGGCTTCAATTACTWTCATCATCATCGTCACATTCAGTAGCTGCTGGGCAGATGTCACTGACCACGTGAGCTGAGCCATGTGTTTATGACAGGCTTTAAATGCAAGCAGATTACCCCCCACCCCACTGCAAACATGTCCCTCACTCAGCCCCGCTCCCATAATCTCTAAAACTGGATGCACTGTAATGTGGGCAAATTCACCAGTGAAATGGGGCTGCGCACAGAACAAACACTCTGTTGCATTGATTTCCTTTACTCTGCTCGTTCCTAGGCTGTGTTTACTGTCAGTCTTTGCCTAATGAATCTAAATTGTGGTTACCAGATGGACCTTTAGCACAGGCTATCAAAAAAAAAAAAAAAGGAAAGAAAAAAGAGCTGTAGATGCAAACAGGTGAAAAAAAAAGCCCWCACATGATGCAAGGAAGTTTCTTTAGACGTACGAACAGAACAATCATATTRCTTGTAGAAACGCACCGGACTAATTCAGTTTATTGGGTTCTTTCTTGACAACAGACACAGGCTCTGCTGATCAAATTAGTTAATTGACTTAGTGTTTGGATCACAACTATTTGTGTCACCTTCCAAATCCAGTTGACTGCATCTATGCCAGCCAGTCTGGTCCCTCGAGAGGTGACAAAAGATCTTTTTCCTGAGATTCTACATCGAGGAAAACTGAAATCAAAGTTATAAACAGGTTCAGACTGATTGAAGGAATCACTTTGCAAGTGTCACAAATGATCTAACGTGGCGTCTCGTTGGGATTGATAACTTGTTAGATTTTTTTTCCTGTCAGGCAGAGGTAAATTGCGATTCAAAGCCCCCCTGACACTGCTGAAAATTATATGTGTATATTAAAAAAAACAGAACAAAACAAATGCAACCATTTTAACACACAGTTTCCCCCTGACAAACTATAAACAGAGGGAGAAACAGGAGGAAAAAGAAATAAACTCTTGAGAGGTAAAARGTTTGACTTGTGGTGGGAGTCTGTTGAGTGGTAATTTGTAGAACGACACACTCTATGCGATTCGGTGAGCCACGTTTCGTGAGAGCTGAGGGGGTATTGGTGACTGGGAGGTGTAATAAAGGCCGGCGCTCGCTCAGTGAAGCCTGCAGCTGCAAGTCGTGACACTTAGGCTCCATAGGAGTGTCGCAGGAGAATGGAAACAGTATGTGGCCAAATAACCTCTGTGACAGAACCACACAGCAGGACGCCTTACAAGCAAAATGAAGAAGGAAGTTTATTTTTACGAGACGCAGAGAGGTCAGCCGTGCTGAATGCATAGAGGAAGCAAGTCCATTCATGCTAAGACTGTTTGAAGCAACAATCTGACCTGGAGTCTGACATTTTGTAAATATTTGTTCGAGCTTAATGGGTTCAAATTACCTGKTGCTATAACAAGTTTTTATATTTTAAGATTTTTTTTCATGAAATTTCAATGCAGAAGAAAAATACAGTATGAAAGACCACGATTTCTAAATGCCCAAAATATTTTAGAATGCAGATATTGGGTYCGAAAGCATAGGGGCTGAAGCATCCGTATTATTATTTGTAGAGAATTTGTATGTTTTTATTATGATAGTGGATTTGAAAAAAAAAGTCTCATTTGCGAATTTGATAGTACAAACAGGGTTTTCCCTTCATGTGACTGATCGTGGCGCACCGCCATGGCTAAATAAAAGTCGCCACACCTTTGGAATGTAGGTGTTTTTTTTTTAATCAACGTAAAACGGGTTGACACAATTATGTCCGAGACAACCTATTTTCGTTTTGGACAACCAGATCCTGCCTCCTGGTTGTCCACTGGACAACCAGGAAAAAAAGACCTTGATTTAAGTTTTCCTTCGCAGGTGTTCTTCGTAGTAAAAATGAACAAGAGAAAAAACTTGTTAAAGSCGTCCATCTAGGGACGTCTGCCGTCTAACTTACGGTTCTTTCATCCAATGAAGAGAACCAGAGTCAAAGTTTTACCCAATCAGAACAGAGCYGGGCGGGTCGTGCCGTCTGACTGACAGCGCTGCCGTATTTTCCTTTCTCTATGGGTGGGTGGTCAGCTTCCCTCAGCTCAGGTGAACAACACCTCATGGGAAAGCCCTCAGCGTTTCCTGGACTATTTTCCACCGAGGATTATATATTTCTAAAAGCAGCTCGCAGCATTTCCCCCTGTAACACTGTGTTCACGAGCACAACAAAACCGCGACAGATCACCTGACTGGTTTTAAAGCGAGAGGCAGTTTGACTGCAGCAGCTGCACCTCTCCACATGCAGCATGGCTCCGAACTGCCCGGGACTTCAGAGTCCATACGTCAACCCCTTCAGATGGTTACTTGTGTAATGAGCATCAAAAATCTGTAATTTGCGCAAAAAAATCTCTATTAATCACACACGGGTGGAGTGGAGGTGCAGGCGGACCGCAGCTCCTAAAACTGTCAACCTGCTGACTGAGAACATTTGTATATAGTAAACTTTGTTTACTATACCTCCCCGCTCATGAGAGGTCACCACACCACCATGGTTAAAGAAAATCCTAGCGGAAACCCTGGTACGAAGTACAGTGTAGAGYATATTTCCTTCTTAATCCTGTAATAGTAGAAAACATGTCCATGTAGATCACAGTGGGATTTTATCAAAAGATTCTAGGAAACCCAGCCCTCTTTGGAGCTCAATAGACCAGGCTTATTACCTCTGCCAATGGGCGAGGTAATGCTTTTGGTCGCGTATGTCAGTCTGTCTGTCTGTCTGTCGGTCGGCCTGTCCGTGGACAACATTACTCAAAAACTTGTGGACGGATTGTCATGACATTTACTCCACATGTGGAAACTGGCACAAGTAACACACCGTTATATTTTGGTGATGTTCCGGATCACAATGTGGATACAGGAATTTTTTTTTAACTTTTAATCCTCTCAGATCAGCAAAGCTGTGATGCTTTCACAGGGCTTCTGTAAAAAACTGTGACAGCTTTCAGTGCTTGGATTTCAAACTTTATAAAAGTAATGTTAAAACCAGATGTAATGWTGAATAATCCTTGCCATAATGTGCACATTTTTAAGCATTTGGTGCGCATTTAGACAACGTTATGTGACCAGGAAGTGCGTGACTGCAGCATGAAACCTATTTTTCCCATTTCCTCAAAAACACCACATTGTCGGTAGGCTCGTACACAGATCGATGAAGATTGAGGAAGAGGAGTGACGCGGTGGACTTCAGACTCGGAGGTTGTTTGTTTGTTTGTTTGTTTATTTTTATTATTATTTAAATGAGGCCAGATCAAGTCGAGAGCTATTTGTGCGCCCCTATCCACCTCTCGCCAAACTTTGGGGAAAAAAGAATGTGCAGAGCATGGTTGTGACTGCTGTGTGTGTTCCTCACAAAGATAGGAAGATGCGTGTGTGTCTGTGTCATTAGACGCGCGATGAAAACTCTGCTTTTTTGAGTCACGTAGCACRGATGCGAAAGCTTTCAACAATATCGTCGGGTGACGACTCTGACTTTTTTCCTTTTTTTCCACATTGGACTCCACGGGAAGAAATCCCGTGCATACTGCCTGCTTAAATGTTCACTACGTCAGAACTTATTTGGCAAATGTGTTTCCATCTCTGCTTTTGTGCATTAACTCTATTACAGGATGGGGGAAATTGGACTTGGCGGAGGTTTGTACTCTCCGAGTGCTTCTAGTTTTATAGTAGAAACATCATTCAAAGTTAAAAAAAAAACTCAAAACACCGGGTGATGACTAAACATGCATTTTGATTTTCAGTTGAGTTTTATACAATGACAATTACAGTTGAGATTATTTTTTTAAAGATTTTTCTACTGAATGTTCAACATAACACTGTGATCAGGTCAAACGCAAACTTTGTATGCAAGTTAATTTTCCCAGTACTTTTCCAACGACAGCCTTGACTTCCTGGTTCTGCCTGGAAGTGCTGTCCCATGTTGTCATTTTGCCCAGGTGTCTCCAATCTTCTCATTGGCCCCAATCCTTTGGATTTATTTATTTATTTTTGTCTTTATCACACCTGTAGTCTGGCGTTGTCATGATTTATGCCATGTTTGGTTCTCCTCCTTGTTTCCCCTCTGTGTCTGAAGTTCTTTTTGTAATTAGCCTGTTTACTTTCTTTCTTCAATAAACCATTTATTTTTTTTCAACCTCCTCATTTCAGTCTGCATTCTTGGGCCCAAACAGCCACTGTGACAGCTTATGCTTAAGGATTTTTTTATTATTATTATTTAAATCTCAGGACTACATATTGTTTTGCACAGTGACTTTTGTTTTGAGACTTATTAACTCTGCTGTCAGAGAGTGACTGACTCGTGCGCTGTTACAGTGGTGACTGTAACGAGCCTCTGGAAGCAGCTTCAAGATTTGATTTAGTCTAGGTTTCCTTGAAACTTCACTGCAATTTTAGATGATCAGAAAAGTAAATCTCAATAAACTTTAAGAAAGTCGACGCAAGTTGGATGTTTGGGAAGTTTCTTTAAAAGTTTTCATTAAAATATCGAAGCGGACATTTCTCAGCGAA